CCCACACACAGACACACAAGTAAAAGTAAAAATGGAACACATGGAATGTAGTATAGTCTTGGTTAATGGAATTTTTATATTAAAATTATTGAAACAAATCTCAAAAGTTTGCATGCTTGTTAAGTATTATAATGCTAACACATTTACCATTGTTTTTTTAGCTATGATAAATATTTAGATATTTTTATAAAATCCTTCACGCATCGCCTACAACAGCATTTTCAATTGCCTAAATCAATGCCTTGCCCTTGATGATAATAAATTACAGTAATATCCCTTACCAGATCACCTATGCATTTGTTCACATACTAAAGCTGAATTCGTGATTCATGCTGTTAAACTGCCCTTTATTTTACACTTGGTATCTTAAGGTCATGTTGTCACATGTTAGCAAATGTTCACTCCAGTCCAACTACCGTTTACAGAACAGTTAACTTATTGAAATATCTAGAAAGACTGAGAAATTTTTAGTTTGGCTGTGGTCATATGTCGAAGACTACCTATATTGTTATGAAAATAAAATGTATATTGAACAATCAGCCAGACAGCAATATAAATAGACGTCCTTAATTCTTAATCTTAGAAATGGATTCTGACTGAAACTTTCCAGCCTTTTCCCTTTGTCTTTACAGAATCTTGCAGGTCCAAATACTGAGTAAGCCAAACCACACAGTTAATTCATATTTCTTTTATTGAGTTTGTAGTCTGTAATCATAAAAGAGGTTGCATAAATCAATAAAAATATGTGTAGTTTGGAAAGCGATGGTTGAATGATAACTCATTTCAATTACTCATAGGTCTCTTGTCTCGCACCTGCTGAGGTGCTAGATAACACTGTGAAATGATGGTAAGATCTACATTTATTCATAACTTTGGAGAAAAAGAGGAATTATATAGACTATGTCTTTACCAGAGAGCCTCCCCCAAGGGTATGATTAGAGTTAGGGTTGGGTTAGGATTGGCTCTCTAGGGTCATCACGAGTTAGGTGGCTTACGAATATGATTTATTAAAAAAAACCATTCTCCTCCATTAGCACTGGATAGAAGTGCAGTTTCAAGTATTCAAGTTCAGTTCAAATATTTTACATTTCTAAGGGCTCTTCAACAGAGTAGCACTAAAATGCTGTTATCCAGGACGGAAGTGGACCTAAATGTATGCAAGCAGAATTAATTCCCCGCCGCATTTCAGATCCCTATTCTGCATTAAAGTAGGGATTTTGAGAGAAAAACAGAGAGGAGAACACTTCCCTTAGTGCCAGTTACTAGCAGTAGCATCTGGAATCCCATAGCAATGTCCTGAGAATCTTCTAATGCTAGTAACTGGACCAGCACCAAAGGAAATGTTCTCCTCTCTGCTTTTCCCTCCAAATCCCTACTTCAGTTCAAAATAAGGGATCTGAAAGGTGATGAGGAATTATTTCACTTGTGACCTGAATAACAGCATTTTAAAGGTATTCTGCTGAAGAGCCCTTCGAAATGTAAAATATTTGAAACTACCCCAACTGATACATTTATGTCCAATGCTAATGGAGAAGAGTTTTTTTTTATAAATCATATTTATAAGCCACCTGACTCATAATGACCCCGGAGGATCTCATTACAAGAACTTTTAAACAGAACTTTTGAAGTTTTTAGGATTTCATCTGGGAACATTAAGTGTTCTATTAAAGTGCAGAAAGTATTGTTTCCTCGTTCTTTTCTTGCTGTAACATGAGTTTGTTTGTCTTTGAGGTAGGCAATTACAAGAATAATTATCTAGAGAGATGTCAGTCGGTTTCCCATTCTTTTTTTTCTTTCATCACATGGTATTATTTAGTGCTTTTATATGACCGGATTAAATGGTTCTCGGTATTGAAAGCACCTTGATAGGATACAAGTAACCAGTATATAGCCTGTGAGAAATGAATGAAAAATGAAGATAGGTTGGGGAGAAAATTAAGAGAGTTTTAAATGTTGTTTGCTCTACTCAGCATTTGTTTTTACATATTTACTGGAAAATCTTTGGTTTCTATGACATCTACATATTTAAACAAAATAGCTTATTACAGGTAGTACTCCACTTTTAACCACAATTGAGCCTAAAATTTATGTCGCTAAGTGAGAAATTTAAGTGAGTTTTGCCCCATTTTATGACTTTTCTTGCCATGGTGGTTAAATGCATTGCTGTAGCTCTTAAGTTAATAACATGGTTGTTAAGTGAATCTGGCTTCCCCAATGACTTTGCTTGTCAGAAGGTTGCAAAGAGTGATCACATGACCCCAGGACACTGCAATGTCATAAATTCAGTTGCCAAGCTTCTGAATTTTGATCACATGACCATAGGGATGCTGCAACAGTTGTAAGTGTGAAAAATGGTCATAAGTCACTTTTTTCAGTGCGGCTATAACTTCAAATGGTCACTAAATGAACTGTTGTAAATTGAGGACGACCTGCATTTTGCTTGTAGGTGACTGTGCAGTGAGGAGCAGGAGAGTGTTTAGAACTGACTCTGATTGTTCCCCATTTATAAACTTACATTATCTTTCCCATCCCACCATAAAATTATTGGTTTTGTCAGCCTTCCCACATTTCAGTTTTCTGATGTGTTGTAGGTGATCTCAAGATACACAAGCATCTTAAACAAGCATCTTGCAACAGGAGTGGGCTTGTATTGTTTTATTTGATTATATGCATGCACATCATATTTGATATATGTATTTAAATCATGGGTACTTAAAGAAAATGAGATTCCTGAGAAAGACCGCAGTCAAAACTCTGAAAAAACAATAATTTCTTTCAGAAAAAATAAGGCAGGTTCAGAAGACATATCTGGATTTGGAGTGAATTACTAATTCAGGGAATTAAAATAAAATTCTAATAAGATAGATACGAGATTTCAATACGATAGCATGACCCGGAGAAAATAAGGTTTACATATGAGGAAAGGGTATCTTATTTAATGAGATGAATATGCTGGTTCTGCAGAAGCCACCCAACCATATGTGGAGACATACTTAAAGAGTGTGAAACCAAGTGACATCTAAGTGACTCAATCACAGGAATGTCTATGGAGATTCTCAATCATCCAGGTCACAGTTGCTTCAAAAGTGCTTTTCAAAAGACCCCTGGACTTCCTTGGGTTTTTGTAAGGGAATTGCACACCAGGTACCCAAATGGAAGTCAGAGATGATAACATGAACTTGTAATTTTATATAAATAAATAAATATATTTTACATCTATATTTACAGCAAATAAAATGGTCAGGCAAACAGGAGCATCATAAGCAAATGCCAGAGCATACAACGCACACAGAAGAAAAAGACGGGGGGGGGGAAATCCCCCCTCCACACCCACAGCAACCAATCACAGCTTAGATTGTCTCACACAGGAGCAAGTGTGAACATTCTCCAATCAATCAACTATAACTGTGTGTTCTGGCTCATTGTACAACCCCACTGTTCCAGCTACTAAATTTAAATATCTTAATAGGGTCCCCCCCCCTTTTTTTCCCCCTTGAGAGGCTGCTACTATTATGAAAATAATTCAGGAATTAGCTGAATCTAATAATGGAGTACCTAACAGTCAAAAGTTACAGTGCTTCTGAGCAGGAAGGTGCTTTTTGACAATTAGAGTATATAATTATTGAATTGACAGAAGCGGACAAGTGTCACCAGCAGACAGGTGATTGATGGTAAATTATGGCTGAAAATTCAAGGAAGCAGACATGCTTCTGGCAGTGTTACAGAGGTTTTCAGTCTCATTTGTTTTCCTAGCATTTTAATTGATTGGTTTAACCCGTGCGATTGCTGTATATATTTGCCGCTTGTCTTGTATTTTCTTAACATGCCCTTTTCTTGTTTTGTGATATTTTTTTTCTCATCACTCTGGGATGATTTGCATCATATTCTTGTGCGAGCCCATTCTCCCTGAAGAAATTAAAGGCAGCTTAAAAATGGTTGTACATAACAAATGATAAATAACATGTATCGTCGAGACGGCTTGCACCTCAGCCCCTTTCATTCAGAACACGGCTTAGAGCAGTGTGATTAGTTTGTTTTGAAGCAGTTTGGCCCAGCTTGAAGCAATTACCCATGTACATTGTAGATATGAAAGAAGAAGGTCTGGTCTCTGAAATCTTGTACAGATGAGCCAAAAAGAAAATGATCAAACACCAGTAAGCATTACCACCAACCCGGAATGCTAATGCTGTGGTACTTTCTCTTGTGTGCTGAGTTAAGTCTTGGCAGCTTTTTACAAGCAGATGTTAGCAGAGCGGCAGTCTACAGGAATAAAGGGCTCTCTGAAATGTTTTTGGCAATTGCACAAGAGTGTTTATTTGTATGCGAAGGCATATGTGTGAATTTGGAATATACTCTGACTCTATTAGGCAGGAATAGATAGCTCCAGAGATCTCGGTTAATTAAGCACCATCCAGTTGGGATCACTTCTGGTCATCTCATTTGTCTGTAGCGATGATCATTCCTAGCTCAGGGATCTGTTTGATAATATGCAGTCACTATTTTTTCTTCTCTTTCTACTTACCTACCTACCTACTACCTGCATACCTGCCTATTTATTTATGCAGTTTGCAGGGTACCCAGGTCATGTGATCACCTTTGGTGACCTTCTGACAAGCAAAGTCAATGGGGAAGCCAGATTCACTTTGCAAAACCGCGTTACTAACTTAACAACTGCAGTGACTCTCTTAACATCTATGGCAAGAAAGATTGTGAAATGGGACAAAACTCACTTAACAACTGTCTTGCTTAGCAGCAAAAATGTTGGGCTCAGTTATGGTCATGTCGAGGACTACATGTAGAGTAGTTTAAATCAAAAGGCTAGGCCAGAGATTAAGTAGGAAGTTAATTTCTTTAGAATATGTATTGTTTGTATCTTGTAGAATTCTGCATTGTGGTCAACTATTAAACCCTGATAATATATCTTAGCACCCTTAGCCTGAGCTGCTTATAGTTTGATTAAAGCATTTTAATCTTTTTCCTTCCTTCTTCTGTATCTTCAGATGAGTAACAAGAGGTCCAATAGCTTCCGCCAGGCCATTTTGCAAGGGAACAGGAGGCTGTGCAGCAAGGCCCTCCTGGAGGAGACAGGACTCAGCCTTTCTCAGCGGCTGATTCGACACGTGGCATATGAGACGTTACCCCGTGAGATAGACCGGAAGTGGTACTACGACAGCTATACTTGCTGTCCTCCACCTTGGTTCATGATTGCCATCACAATTGTAGAGGCAAGTATCATCAAGCACAGAATGGTGTGGGTGGGGTTTACCTAGTCTCTTTGGTCTGAAAATGGTTAAGCTTGCAAGCCATCAGATAAAGTTGGGTGTCACCTAATCCCAATATAATTTAGACCAGGGTTGTCCACCCTTGGCAACTTTAAGACTTGTGGATTTTAACAGAATGGCTGGGAGTTGAAGTCCACACGTCTTAAAGTTGCCAAGGTTGGACAACCCTGATTTAGACCGTAATATACGATACGTAATTTAAATGCTAATATTTACACAGATAAAGAGCCTAAGGTTTTTTTCTGCAATATGGTTTGGAAAAGTAATGAGCTACTGGTACAGACTGGGAGCAGATATAACGTATTAAATGGGTTCTTCGGTATTTGCCATGGCAACGTGTGTGTTTTCAAAAATAGTTCATTGTTTTCATTTCTTAAAAAGTTTTAATGAAGGTATCGGCCTGTGGCTTTCTAAATGTTATCAGATTCCAACTCCCATAAAATTTGGCCAGTTGTCCCAGCCAGTGGTCAAAAATAATGGGATTTATATGTAGCAGCTGTAAATTCCCCACGTTTACCTAAGAACAGAATAAGGAATGTCTCCTCTCTGGCAGAACACTCTCTTCAAGGAGATCTACTGAGATTGTGGTAGTTTAGAAGTAGCCAACATTCACTTGGAAAGAAGCAGACATTAGATGTGAGTTAGTACCATTATGCGTCTGACATTAACACAAAACATCTCTTCCACAGTTTCAGTTTTGATAACAACCATGTTTGTAAAAGGAAGCGCTCCCCCACAAGTAATTACTCACAAATTGAGGGAGTTGTCTGACATTCACCAAGAAGAATTTAAAAATGCTGCTGAAACAGTGAAGGACAAATGGTGATGGATGTGATGCAAGTAACCAGGAACAGGAGTTGAGTGCAAAGCACTTTGAGTTTATTACATGTTATCTGACCTACTAATGCTCCAGGCAAATTAAGTGCTAGATAAGAGTCAACAGAGTGCATGGAGGGCTGGACCTAGGTCTCTTGTGGGAGCATAGTGATTCCAAATTGATGACACATTTGATCCCACCCTCGGGCTTAGCCTGGTCTCCTCCTACAGTGTTGGTGCCTTTGAAGGAGGGGTGCTGACCAGTGAAATTTAATTGTTTTTGTACTGCATAAACAAGGCTTTCCTCTCCTAGTTATCTTTACCTCCTCCCCAAGCAGCTTTGTTCTCCCCTTTGCCTTTGTCTTCTCTTCACAGGGCAGCTACCCTTTCCTCTTGCCCTCCGTCCATCTTCTTTCCTCTTCCCCCACTTCCTCCTCTGTTATTTCTGCTGAAAGGAGGGAGGAGAAGGGAACTTTGCTTGTCTGTGTGCTTGTGTTTCTCTTGTGAAAGTGGTTTGCGTGTGTGAGAAAGAATGGATAGTACATAGGGAATTAGTTATATAAATGAGATGCCGAATTTGCTGGCAATCAGTCGCGATTGTTTTCATTTCATTTTATCCTGGTGTGGCCTTGCTTTTTTTAGTATTGCTTCAGGAAGAGATATGTATGTGTGTGTTTCCATCTGTACGAGTCCGTAATATGCATGTTATGGAGGAGGGTTTGTTTAGACCAGTGGTTCACAACCTTTTCTTCACCATGGATCCCCTTTAAATACCATTTGTGGCCATGCCCCCACAAGACTTAACTCAAGATTTAAATCATAGCATTTCTTCAAACCTTCGTGGATCCTTCTGTGATGACATCATGTGCAACCCACCCCCCAAGTCATCCATGGACCATAGGTTGAGAACCACTGATTTAGAAGATAGTGAAAATCTTCGTTTGAGAAGTTGGGAGTTAGGAATTGCATAGAATTTGGTGTGTGTGTGTGTATGTGTGTGTTTCCCTGCTTGCTGTCTTTGTCTTCAATTCAGAGTAATCTTCTTTTAAAGTAACTATGATGTTAGTAAGAGATAGGATGGAAACAAACACAGAAATGGAACTGTAGGGCTCAGTATTAAGGTATCTCCAATGCTACTTGGCAGATTAAAGTCAGGTGGGATTGAGAATTTCTGCAACTCTTCACTTGGGATTAGGATGTTCTACAAGGTTTGGGTTTTTTTAAAAAAAAAAAATCCATCATGCTCTTTACATGACAGTGACAGAAGTCATGTTAGCAATTTTTGAGGAACAGGCAGCACTACCTCTCTGCTCCTCCAGTAATCCCAGAATGGCAGTAGACCTTCTGAATGGCTAGATTACATGAATAACATGATGTTTAAACCAAGGAAGTCCAGTCCAAGGAGTTTTAAGATGGGAAACCTGGACAGTATAATTCACCTACTGTTGGGTAAATTACTGCCTCTGAAGGACCATGTCATTTTGGAGAAACAATTAAATGAATGAATGATGCCAAGTTCAAGATGAGGTCTATTCTTTGCTATGAGGGAAATGGAAATAACATGGAGCAGGAGTAAGCCTTTGGCCTTTTAATTTCTTGTTCGGTCCTTTGATCTCTCAAATAAAGCTTTATTTATAGTTCAGCATAATGCTGAAATATATCTTCAGGCATTTCTCAATGGTTTTAATTACTTTCTATTGAGCAATTAAACAAAAATAATGGGATTGCAGTAGAAAGGATGACAGTACATTTTAAAAATCTGAAAGGATGCAGATCATCTAACACTATGTTTGTAGGAGGTTTGTATAACACACCTTTGGATCTATCATGTATTAGTGCAATGGGTCAGTTTAGCATACAGGTAGGCCTCAACTTACAACAGTTCATTTAGTGACTGTTCAAAGTTACAACGGCACTGAAAAAAGTGACATGACCATTTTTCACACTTATGACTGTTGCAGCGTCCCCATGGTCATGTGATCAAAATTCAGAGACTTGACAACTGACTCGTATTCATGACAATTGCAGTGCCCTGTGGTCATGTGACCATTGATTGCGACCTTCTGACAAGCAAAGTAAATGGGGAAGCCAGATTCACGTAACAACCGTGTTACTAATTTAACAACTGCACTGATTCACTTAACAAATGTGGCAATTAAAGTTGTAAACTGGGACAAAACTCCCTTAAATTTCTCACTGAGCAACATAAATTCTGACCTCAATTGTGGTCGTAAATCGAGGACTACCTGTGTATATGCATATAAAACTTGTGCAGTTTTTACATTTGCATCGCACACTGATTTAGTTGATAATACGTTTTGTTGCATAGCCAGATAACATAGGAAATATGTGTTCATCCAGTGGAAATTAAATGTCACTGAATCCTCCTGGAATCGATTTAGCTGAAAAAAATATGTTTCATGACCTTCTTTGGATCTGCTGGCCTTTCTTCCAATGGCCTAAATTTGGCATCAGTGTGAGAAGGGCTTAAAACCAGACAGATTGTATTTGTGTGGGATTACTTCAGAGAAGAGGAAATTCTGGCCAGTTATGGATTCTGCCACTGCAGGGATTTATGTATGCCCGTGTAATCCTCCCTTTACATTGCCTGGATTCCCACATTATCCTAAACCATTATGTAATCTGCTTGGCTTTGGCTCAGCAAGATGTGAGAAGCAGCCGTTGCAACATAATCAAGCTTTATGGAAGTCAATCTTGTAATTTCTGGAAGGTTCCCAGAAGTTGTTGCTATTTCATATGCAACAATAAGGTAAATTTAAAAATTTGGTTATGAGTGCGGTATTTAACATGGCGCCATTCATGTGTTCATTATTCAAGTATTTTGATTCAGCTTGCGCAGACAAAGCTTAAATATATGGTTCTTGAAGATGAGCTAACAGATAGGTTGTCCTCAATGGGAGGGATTAATATTAGAAATCTGATACCTCCTCCACATTTAAAGCAAACAAGTAACCAAGAAAGTCCAAACCAACATCGAGTTAGAAGTACTGTTGTTGAACTGAGCTGTTTATATTTCTTAAAATGCGCAGATTTTTTTTTCCTTACTGCATTTGGATCCAAGAGGGCAAAGGTAAACATTTGTGAGCCAATCTGCAACTCCTTAAATTGCATGTCCTTTTTCCCAGGATCACAGTGCAGCTCCACAATTCCACAATGTCACCGTGATGACAGTGTAGTCACACAATTCCAGGGAAAAGTGCAGCTCTTTAAGGACTTGCCCGAAGATATCGAAGATATCGTGTGAACACCCCCTCACACTCCAAAGCACCTTTCCTCCTTCCAGTTAAAAGCTCTATTTTTTTTCTGGATTTGCAAATGGAATTTGGTTAATTGTGGGCTTTCCCTGCTTTCCTAGGTTGCCTTCTTTCTTTACAATGGAATGGTCCTGGATAGGTTTGTGCTGCAAGTCACCCATCCCTTCTATCTGAAGAATTCATTATTATATCATCCTCAACTCCGTGCCCAGGCCTGGAGGTACCTCACCTACATCTTCATGCATGCAGGGTGAGTGCTGTGGAAATGCCACAATCTCCATTGTGACATAGTATTAGGGTAGGGGTGTCAATCTCACGGCGTCACGGCGGTGTCACGTGACATATCGGGACTTTTTTTCTCCTTCACTAAACTGGCCGTGGGCATGGCCAGCACCTGACACATTTGGCCCGTGGGCCGGGAGTTTGAAAGCCCTGTATTAGGGGAAGAGGGTAAGGAAGACCTTGCA